TGCACTCCTGCTTAAGATGTGATCAACAGCGATCAGAAGAGTATTGATGTAGCTTCTGAATCTGCACTGCGGAGCAGTTCACCATTGGATCTGCAGAAAACGTGTATGATTTGATGCAGCTGATGCCCATCTGAAATATACTCCCTCTGAATTCTTTTGTTTGATGTGGCAGATGTCTGAGGCTACTTGCTGCCACTGATAGAATCATGGAATGGTTTGGTTGGAAGGGACCTTAAAGATCATCTAGTTCCAGCCCCCCTGCCATGGCAGGGACACCTTCCACCAGACCAGGTTGCTCAAAGCCCCATCCAGCCTTGCATTGAACACTTCCAGGGAGGGGGCATCCACAACTTCCTGGCCAACCTGTTCCAATGCCTCACCACCCTCACAGTGAAGAATTTCTTCCCAATATCTCATCTAAATTTTTCCTCTTCCAACTTAAAGCCATTGCCCCTTGTCCGGTCACTACCTGCCCTTGTAAAAAGTCCCTCCCCAGCTTTCTTGTAGGCCCCTTTAGGTACTGGAAGGCTGCTGTAAGGTCTCCCGGAGCCTTCTCTTCTCCAGGCTGAGCAACCCCAACTCTCTCAGCCTGTCTTCAGAGGAGAGGTGCCCCAGTCCTCTGATCATCTTCGTGGCTCTCTTCTGGACTCACTCCAACAGGTCCATGTCCTTCTTGTGTTGAGGGCCCCAGAGCTGAAGGCAGTACTGCAGGGGGGTCTGACCAGAGCAGAGTAGAGGGGGAGAATCCCCTCCCTCAACCTGCTGGTCATGCTGCTTTTGATGCAGCCCAGGATACAGTTGGCTTTCTGGGCTGCAAGTGCACATTGTTGGGTCATGCTGAGCTTCTTGTCAACCAACACCCCCAAGTCCTTCTCCTCAGGGCTGCTCTCAATCTCTTCTCTTCCCAGCCTGTATTTGTGTTTGGGATTACCCCAACCCAGGTGCAGGACCTTGCACTTGGTCTTTTTGAAATTCATGAGGTTCACACAGGCTCACCTCTCAAGCCTGTTGAGGTCCCTCTGGATGGCATCTTTTCTCTGCAGCAAAAAAGGGAGTCATTACAAATCTGGAGTCCATAGTGACACATCTACACTGAAGAACCATCTGGAAGCCATATATCTGTCACTGTGTAGTAGTGATTGCCTTAAAGCTAGTAGTAACTTCAAGAGAAGCTGAAAGGACTCATTTCTCCACTGTGTCCATGTAACTAAGTTAAAGCCCCCATTTATGAGACTCTGGTGGAAAGAGTAAACATCCATAAATACTTAATGCTGGTGTTGAAGGACTTGGATCTTGTTCTAGATTAAAAGCTTGAATCTAGTTAAAGATTAATTATTACAACTGAACAAATGCAAGTAATTCTACATAAAGTGCATTTCAGCTATAGCAAATGACCTAGTTTTGGATAATCTCTTTATTCTGGATTAACTTTACCACAGAAACTATACTAGCACTTTTTGTGGCACTAAAATAGTACCTAGGCGTAACTCAAACAAACTGCAAACCAGCTGATTTATTTCAGATTGTAATTTTAAAAAGCTCTTTTCCTTTCCTGTCTCATTTAAATTCTTTATTAATCTTAATAATGGTTATCTGTGCTTATGAGCAAGTAGTCTAAGAGTATTTTAAAATAATGTTAATTGCATGGCTTTTTATCTTCCTGTCTTAATTAAAGTTTGAGTGTGTCATGGTAAGTTTCCATGTTTTTTAGCTTGAACCAATTTTAACTTTAATTCTAAATCTCTAAATGATAACTAATTGTGCATATACCTTCATTTTCAGGGAATGTCTTGGTGAAGCACATGAACCTTGTGACTGCCAAACCTGGAAGGACTGGCTACAGAAAATATCTGAAATGAAACCGGAAGAACGTAAGAGTCATGCCTGTGGGGGAATGTTTTTTTTTTTCTGTTGTTGTTATCTTTTCGTTTTAGAGGGATTTTTTAGTTGCATTAAGTAAAAACTCTACATTCGTTGAAAAATAGGGTAAAAGGGGGAGAAAATTAGCCCCTGAATGAGGGGCTGCTTCACACTTTAACTGCGTATTAGGCAGCACTACGGTAGACTGTTCTTCAAGAACCAGTCCTCCCCATAAATCTTCATGTGGTTCAGTCAGGGCATACAAAACTCTTTTCCCTTCCTCTCACAGCTTTTTTTCATTAATTAATTGGTCTATTCCTGAATATAACTTTATTTGTCCTGGGCAATTTTAAGTCTTTTAGCCCAGTCTGGACTTCTGTTTGAATTGTTTTCTATGCCGTTGTTTGTGTGCTTTAAAACTAATTCAAGCCAATAGGTGATAATAATAGTAAGGTTGAGGCTGAATTGCAAAGGAATTGTGAGGAATTGCTTAATGATAAATAATATTTACTGAAAAAACTAATAAAGGTTGGCTTACACAGCACAGAGGTTTTCTTGGTCAACATTAAAAAAAAAGAAAGATTAACAGTAATTTGAATAAATACTAACTTAACTTGGTTACCACATGTCAGAGCCTTTCCATAATATGTTATAAATATTCTGGAAAGCATAGAAAATTTTATAAAGAGGCAAAATACACCATACTTTGTCAAATTATGCTGATTTTTATCATATATGTATTTGCTCATTTCTATGTGATAAATTTCATATATATAAGAATTTGTATAGAAATATATGTGTGGAAATATATAGAAATAGCATGTGTAATAATATATGTAACATGTATACATTAGAAAATGTATACATTTATATATGTTGAGAAAAATATATAGTGAAGAATTACAATATTCTGTCAAGAAACAGGTAAACATGTATCTTTCCTAATCTGATTTTCTGCAAAAAGATTGCACAAGTACAATTTCAACTTCTCTGTTTTTGCATGCTCCGTATCCTCCTGTCATCCTAAAAAAGTTGTGGGAGTGAGTGAGGCATATGAAGATGCTGCCAACTGCCTGTGGTTACTAACAAACTCCAAACCATGCGCCAACTGCAAATCTCCAATTCAGAAGAATGAGGGCTGCAACCACATGCAATGTGCAAAGGTGAGAAAGGCCCTTCATATAATTTGTTGTGAAACCATAATTCAGATTGTGTATGTCATGGACACATTTTAGGAGCACAGATATCCAAAACCTCTGAAATGTCATGCCTGAGATCTAATGGAACTTGTTGCAGGAATTAGATAATGTGCAAATGGTGGGTTACATGTCTTCAGAAAATGTTTAATATTTAGTGAAGTCTGTTTGGCTGGCAGCTGAACTCTGTAATGATTGAAATTTCATAAACACCTAAGAATTACTGGCAATACAGTATGAAACTTAAGAGAACAGAAGTAATTGATTGTTTAATCACCATTAATAGTGTAGAAGAGAAAGAACATTTTTAGTTGGCAGAAGATGAAACATTTTAAGGAGTGGTAACCTCTAATGAAGGTTTTGCGTTACTACATTTTTCTTTTGCATTATTTCTCTAACATAGCAACAAAACAGAGAAGTTTAAATGGAAAACTGTAAACAGGAATGAAAAGACAGTAAAGAGTAATTCCAAGAGAAACTTAGTGGTAACAGCAGCCAAAGACTTAGTCATGAGTTTGTACTATGCTACCAAAATAGAAAAAATATTTTTGCCGTGAGTTCAGTATCATTTGAGAATGCTTTTTCTCTCACATTAGCTAAAAGCAGCATATTTAGAATACTGTTTCTTTATGTCAGAAATACCTTACATAACTATACCTAATACCTCTTTGAGGAGCATCATTAAAAATAAGAAAGTAGCACACACTTCACATAGTTGGCTCCAATAAAATGCTAAGAGATTTAGTTACACGCTCAGCAATTACCTCTTCTGCTTGGCTTAGACAGTGGCCAGGCAGCAGGTGTGATTTGTTACGCCTAGGCAGTGCTGCTGCATGGCTAGGTGATCATAAAGGCACATAAAACAGAGCTCAGGGTTCTGGGGAGATGTGTAGAAACAGATGATGTGGTTTTGAACGTTTAATGAGAGGGAGGTATTGGGGGGAGGGTCTGGGAACACTGGGTGAATCTTGGGTTTTTGAGGAGACTTTAGGAGATGGGAGAAATTAGAAGATAGATATATAGTGGAGTGGTCATGGAGGGACATAATTTGGGAGAGGCAAAATTATTGCAGTAGGAGCATATACACATAAATTAATAGGAAGTCAAGTTTTATTAGTGCTGTTGCTTGTGAAACAACTTGTTTCATACCATTTTTGAATATTTTGTAATGATGTTTTTCTTATAATGAATATGAGTGGTTTTGAATGGTAGGCAAATGATGCAGTCATACACACTTAACACTTTTCTACACAATTATTCTCATACTTCATTCTCAGCACTCGTCTTACTATTTTGTATAAGCAAGCAGCTTCAAAAAATGTTTAAGAACAAGAAGGTGCAGCACAATAACAAGAAGAAATACCCTAGTCTGCATTGCGTTTTAGAAGAAAATGAGCACTACTGGTGAGACGAAATTAGCAAAAATACAATGCAAGAACTGGATTTCGTTTCTTCCTGTAATGTATCTAATTGATTGTATAAAACAACTATTGATAAACATATCTGATATGGACTAGGTATTCCTGGAAAGGTTAAACTTATCAAGGAGAGAAAAAATGCAACTTAATTTATCAAATTCCAATAATAATATTAATGGCTTCATATTAATTAATGTAAATTTTTGCTTAGTTTTTTCAGGATTTTTCTTTGGTCATCTGTAAAACAGATAAAATAAACACAATTCACCAAGTCATAAAGTCTTTTGCCTATCCATCCATAAATAGCTTCCAATTATTTTGAAATAAACTAGCTGAGAACTCAGTGCTGAGTTGAGAATATTTAATACAGATTGATCTTCTCTGATGCAGAGGAGACTGGATAAGTCAGATCTCCTCGTAAGGTATTACCTAGTTTGAAAGCTGTTTACTCGGTCGATGCAGAAAAGGCTCACCTTAAAGTAATCACTCTTCAAAGTTTATGTTCTGGTTTATACTCTCTTGCTTTAGTAGTTGTTACTAATATTTTGCATCAGCAACACCACATGACAAAAATACCAGTAGTTACGTTTTTTAAGTGATACTAGAAAAAAAATTCACTCTTTCTCATGAACAGTTTCTGTGTTGCTTAAAAATGAGACTGTCTTTTTTTTGAACAGTAATAAAAAACCAGGCCTGATCAGCTGTATTTATCATATGATTTATTTCATCCACTTAAAACTTAACACATAGATCCAACACAATCTTGTGATCCAAAGAACAAAAATTATGACTGATGTGGTTTGATAACCCAGATCTTCTGTAGTAGGTAAAATAGGAAGGAGGTTCCTCAAAATTTTTTTTGACCATAAGCACACTCAGAATGATGTTAATTCAGTTGTTCCTGGAGGAATAATGATGCATAGCTGCAAGTGTATCAACTTTTTTTCTTTTTCCCCCTTGTGTCTTTTTTTTCTGAAGTGCAAATATGACTTTTGCTGGATATGCTTAGAAGAATGGAAGAAGCACAGCTCTTCCACTGGAGGCTACTACAGATGCACTCGCTATGAGGTTATTCAACATGTAGAGGAACAGTCCAAGGAGATGACAGTAGAGGTAATGAATAAATGTGTGTGTTTGAAAAATAGCGCTAAGGCTGCAATTTTCTATTTAGAATAAGTGTCATCAAAATTCTTCCAAACCCGAGTTCTAAATGGAAAAATACAACCTTAAATATATCAAAGAGACAGAAATAAACACTGCTTATTTGTGGATAGAAACATAAGATTTGGTTCTACTTTTGGCTTTGGTAACAACCACTGGTGACTTTACTCAAGTCATTTTATTTCTCTGTGCCATGGTTTCCTTTTGTGAAATGGGCGTGCTGATACTGTAATTAGCTGCTGTGCACTACAGAAGGTATGCCTTAATTTTGGCATTTGGAAAGTCTGTTTAAATAGCATGCACACACAGTGTATCAACTCTTTGGCTATGGTATTTACAGACTTCTGTATTTCAAAAATTTGTCTGTTTACTTACATGGCACTCATCAGCATTGTGTACAATACTTTATGTATGGTGGGAATAGTAACAGTTGATTATGTAATTATATCTAATGGTGATTGCTAAATTAAATCATAAGATTTATCTTGCTTTCTTTTGTTTCCCCATTATTTTTCAGGCTGAAAAGAAGCATAGAAGATTTCAAGAGCTTGATAGGTTTATGCACTATTACACAAGATTTAAGAACCATGAACTTAGCTACCAGGTGTGGGTCAAGCCATTTTTACTGATTTTTGTTTCTATTTTATAATCCAAAAATAATTATCTTATTGTATTTTCTTTGTTTTCTTATTCTAGTTAGAACAGCGCCTTCTAAAAACAGCCAAAGAAAAGATGGAGCAGTTGAGTAGAGCTCTCAGTGGAAGTAAGTACTTGCTGTGATCTATGAATTTGATTTGAAATCAAATCAACTCTGTTATGGCTAAACCTTTTTTTTGGGGGGTAGAGCTCACATCAGTCTGCTGTGTGATGTGATCCCTCCGGTACTATAATTCCTAAGCAGTGGATGAAAGCTACATGTACAGTAAATCTTATCTATTCCAAAGACTCAAGGAGAAAGCAGCATTCGTAAGGGAGAAGCTAACATTCTGTGCTTACTTCTTTTAGTAAGAACACCGTGTAATCATTAAGAACCTGCTGCTGTTTACTTGCAAAATATTTAACTGACATGCACATAAATTTTATTTTGGAGGAAAACTCTTATGCTAAAAGAAATGGTGACATCAGCAGGTTTTTTTCACAGTGCTTGTTTCATCTTACAGCTGAGGGAGGCTGTCCTGATACCACATTCATTGAAGATGCAGTGCAAGAGCTTCTAAAAACTCGCCGCATTCTTAAGTGTTCTTATCCATATGGATTCTTTTTGGAGCCTAAAAGCACAAAGAAAGAAATATTTGAACTTATGCAGGTAATACATGCATATATTTTGCTTTTCTAATGTTACTTTTTTATATATATATTAGTTACCAGTGTCTTTTTGCCATTTTTATAGTGTAGAACACCCGGTTTGTATTTGTAACCAACTTTGGAAAATCAGCGCATTTTAATTACTCTATGACACAGTAGCTTTTAGTTCAATTTTAGAATGAATGGAAAAAGCCACTTTGCTGCAAAAGGAGAGGGATAAGGACAGGTGGAAGGGGAAAGAAAGAAAAGAATTTACTGTTAATCTGCTTTCTGAGGGTAACATTTTAGCTTCAGCCTTCATCTCCTTCTCTAGCTCCTCTTTCCTGTC